TCTGTACAGCACTTTGGTCAACTTTGGTTGTTTTAAAGTGCTTAACAAATAAAGTTGGATTGGATTGGATTAATTTGTATCATTGGTTCTGCCTGTGTTTACCCTACTATTTCATAATGGCTTCTGTGAAAAAGGTCTATTAGCTGTGTAAAGGGCAACAGTCATGTTTATATTCCAACTGCCAATATACACTAGTATCGTCTACTACAGACCTTGGTAAAGTGAATCAAACCAATTCAGCCTATAGTTAAGTACAAAAACATCATTATCACCACTGTGGAAATCAGCAGATTATCATCATGTTAAATAAAAACACTCATTCAGTTACTAGTTAGAAGGAATCACAGCTAATACCAATGCAAGTAACAGCAGCCTGTTAGGAGCAGAAACTTAGCAGCCAACAGACACCCTAACAAGTGAGCTGTGAAATGTATAAACTGTTAACAAGCACTGAAACAAAGCTGGAACCATAGACTATATAATAAACAGGGTAGCAGAAGTAGCACCGTGACGTCACCCATTGGTTTGTGGACTACCATTTTAAAGCCTCAAGTTTGGCATTATGGCTGTTGCCATCTTGTTTTTTCCAGTCCACTATTAGTTTTAAAGTCAGAAACACAACTGAGAAAACACCCACCAACAATAACTTTAGCTTAATGGCTTACTAACTTTTGCTTAGCATCTTAGTTAGCTGCAGAAATTCTTACTTTAAGAGACGCCCTAAAACACAGACAGCAAAACATGAAATCTCAAGCTACCATCTTGAAGTAGAGTGTATGGACAACAGTGAGTAAAGACAAACTACTGTCAGGACTAGCAACATTAGCAACATAAATATTTTCTTGGAGCATTCCAAAACGACATGAGCGCACATGTTGGCATGCAAGTTTGTTAATTAAATGAAATCAGTTGCAGCCGTACAGCAGCAGAGTTTTTAATATAGTGGTGTATTAGCATCAGTACTGGACTAATCATTTAGCTTACAAAAACAGCCTTATTGCACAAGGGGTGTTAAATATGAGTTACAATTCATAGAATGTGTTCTGTGCGAGTGTAGCAGCACATCTGGATTTGATTGCCTGAAAGAGGCTTCACTTTATGAATCTACATGTGGTACGTTTGTTATTAGCTTGTTCATCATCCCTCAAAGATCTGTGAATGACTCAACAATACACAGCAAATGAAACATGATTATTGTACTATATTGTGCTCTTAGTTTTACTGGACTCCAAATGGACACATTCCAATTTTTGACTCACACCCTAAAATTTAGAGTTACAATTTCCCAGAAGCTATAACTTTCTCGTAAGATACAGAGATAACAGATTCCCTCAAAAAAATTAACTGTGGAAATTTGATGAGTAAAATGAAAAAATACATGGCTTTAAAACAATAACAGCAGACATTGTTAACAGATACAGCAGACATGAATTTTTGCACCTAGATAATACACAGAGATGAATATCTATATTTAGGTTTTTTAATTATACTTGTACAGTATCTGTCACATTGCAATTACAACCTCAGATTATGAATGTAAGAAATGCTACCATCAACAATGTGTTAATGAGGGCTGTTGTGTCACCCACAGCACGAAAGTCCAAGAAGTTAGGGAAGCTGAAGGGAGTCAGCGAGGATCTGCAGGGCTCTAAGGACGGCCAGACTGCCACAGGTGGTGTTGGAGGCAGTTACCTGTCCTCAGAGAAGGAGCTGAATGCCAGCGCTGCCAATGCCCTGGTGCCCCACGGGCCTGGGGTGGTCACACCTTTTCTGCCGCCCTCCATCTGCAGTGTGTTGGAGCTGATTGAGCCTGAAGAGGTGTACTCTGGCTATGACAACACGCAGCCTGACACCACTGACCACCTGCTGTCCAGTCTCAACCGCCTGGCCGGAAAGCAGATGGTGCGCATGGTGAAGTGGGCCAAAGTACTTCCAGGTTAGTAACCAATAGAGCGGTGGGCTGAGGCCTAAATGCTGTTTAAGAGAGTTTTTTAAGCCAGAATTGGAGTCATGTGGAAATGAAAATTATAATAATAATAATAATAAACCACTAGACAAAATATTTTTTGCCCTCGCTTTTAAAAGTTAATAAAAAAGGGCTGAAATTTTGTCAATTTTATTCATTCATATAAAATGGTAAGTGGTAAATCAGTCTAATAAATCACGGGGCATTTATACTGTAATTATGGAGTGGGGTTTTAATGATGAAAGCATTCCTACATCTTCACTTTTGATCTGCACATTTTGAGAATGCAACACTGCTAGTTTTGTCAGCGCGCACAATTTTAATTTTAAATATTAGGTCAGGAAATGATCCTGTGAAGCTTCAACAAGATTAGGAAGGGAATCCTGTTTTACCATTTAATATAATCAAGATTAAGATTTCAAAACGGAGCTTATTTACATTATCGCTGTCAGATGTTATGTTGAACAGAAAATCGAATGTCTATCTCATTAATTTTTACCTAAACACACACAGCACAGGAAAAAAATAAATGTTTGAAAAGGGATAAACAAGTTTCCCTAAAATGCCAGTCAGTGGGAGACATATTGAAAGATGCCTCACAGGTAGCTCTTTGAGGCTGTTTAATTTGCTGTATTGCAAATATTTGATACCTCCACGGTGTCTGCTTGCCATATCCGGACGTATAAATAGAAGGAGAGCCAGACAGAAGGGTCAAAATGAGTACCTTCGACTTTCAGATATGCCACTGCCTGCATTCAGCTTACATTTGGATGTGGCAGGGCTAACACACAGGGCAACATGGAACAATATTGTCAGTACCAACAATATGTTCACAGAAAAGTCAGACTAGATCAGCCAGTCCTGTGCTCTTTATTTTATGAATGCACAGTGTTAAGCCAGGCATCTGACATACCTTTTTTACATATTTAGATGTTTTTAGTTATTGTATTTGTAAGATTGAAATGCATATTGACTTAAATAGTCCCTAAGCCTTGATAAGTCAGTTGCGTGTCCTCAGTTGGCTTATGTTTTGCATGAGGAGGAGTTTCTTGCCAGAGTTTGATTGAGAGTTTGGCAAGTTTCCTATTCGACCCTATTTTTGGAGCTCCATAGACAACACGCCAATAACTGGAGGCCTTGTGGGATTTGTATAAAACAAGAATGGGTGAATACTTCTCAGTGGTTATCAGGTCTAAACAAATATTGGCACAAAAAAAGTACACTGTAGCAAAGATACACAGTACGTAGTGCACATGAACAAACACAGAGGTACACACGTGCATCTACTCAGCTAAATTAAGGCCTCTTAGGTTGGTGATTAAGTCCAAATGCTTTCAATCCTAGGTATTGTCAGTCACATTCAAACATAGTGTTTTCTTTTCATCAGCTTCGTCTATGACTGCCATGTCTGTGTTCTTGTGTGTGTGTTAGGTTTCCGGGGCCTGCCCATTGAGGACCAAATCACCCTGATCCAGTACTCATGGATGTGTCTGTCCTCCTTTTGCCTCAGCTGGCGCTCCTACAAACACACCAATGGACAGATGCTCTACTTTGCCCCTGACCTCATCTTTAACGAGTAGGTTTTACACTTCCATATCTGCAGTATACCACACACATCTTGCTGATGTTTTTAAAGTGCACGGCTCCTGATATTTAGGGCAGCGTCCCAGATATTGAATGGTTTTTGTCATATACAACTTCAAAATGCAACAAAGAGAGGAAGTCAAAGCACCAGGATTTCAGCAGGCACACATAAATTACATTCTGTGTTGTCTGATATGAGAAAGAATCATTTGTTTTTCAGAGTATATAATTAGTAGATACAGTAATTGGTTGAACAGTCAGGTTTTGACTATGCTATTTTCAGCAGCTCATCAGATACAAATTTATGCATAAGCATAGATTTTGCTTGTGAAATTTAGAGTGTAAGGAGTGTGTGTTCCTGCTGTATTATTCTGAGTCGTCCATTAACATAAATAAGACTTTTCAAAGGGGCTAAAAAAGCTTTTGTGGTAGTGACGTTTCTTTCAGGACGTCATGATGTAAAAGGTCACAATCTCTCACCTGATTTCTGGTAGCTCACCAGGAAATACTTTTGTACTTTTTGATGGTTCCTTAATTGCGTCAAGCCCAGGCGATCAAAGCCTGGCAAGGGCAGTAAATGGCTCACTTGATCTGTGTTAATATGTTTGAACAGGAGAGCAAGTGGAGAGGAAGTCTATGTGGGCTATTTTCTCTTTGGAGCTGCGGTGCATGTCCGCTGATGAATTGAATATTATAAAATGAATCCGAAATGAGAATGGCATCCTCTCTAGGCAACCTGATGTAGAGGAGCAGGTTCAATCAGGGGCAGGTTTAAAAGCTCCTACTAATAGCTTGTGTAAGTCAATGTCAGTGGGTCAGTCTGTCCCAAATAAATAAATAAACAAATGCGCAAATGCCATTGTGCAACACAATTTCAGACCCTGTGAGCCTGTGTTGTTATCACTTTGAGCTTAGTACAGTTGGTAAAGCCATACAGGTTTGTCACACCAGAGATCCTCTGATCCTTTAAGCAATTTAGTGCCAAGTGGCTCACAGTTTATTAAGAATTGTTTGCTTCCTTTTGTCAAATGACAACAGCTTTTGGGGAAAATTTTACTTTGTAATAGAGACTTTGTGGTTGTGTCTCATTTGGAAAGTTCAGTATTGGAATATCTATAATAAGAAATGTATGTATTCTTTGTAGACAAATGGAAAAAATGTTACTGTACAATATGCTGCTGTTTCTGCATGCAATGCATTTACAGCAGGCCTGTCCCATTGACAGATGGGCTTGGTATTCAGCTTGACAGAGCAGATGAGATGTATACCGGCTGGAGATAGTGGTGGCCTGGATTTTGGTCACATGCTTGCCGCTCTGTCAGGGCAGCCTGGATGTCACTGCCAGCCCCACTCTGGGCCTGTTATCAGGTTGAGGTGTGTCGCTTGCTTGTTGTTTAGTTCATTGACAATTCTGTCAAAAATAAGGACCCAGTTGGTTCATAATTTTGCACTCAGTCTTTAAGGGGTTGGACAGTGTACACTTGTTTCCATAGCTACTTAGTACTTATTGACCCAGGGCATTAAGTCATTTATTGAATAGACTGTCCACTCACTCAGCTTCCATGCAGAGTGGAATCTGTCACTGATTGAGAGTAAATACTGCAAAGACAGATGTGCATTTTAAATTAAAGACAATGTAAGCCTGCATAATCTGTCATTTAGTTGTTGATGTGTGGTAAATGTTAGCAACAATAAAACAAAGCTATTTCCCTAAAAGTTCTTGGCTTTCACTCATGATTTATGTCATGTACACATTGGAAAGGGAAAATGCATCAACTATTTGTAAAGGTAGAAATCAAATGCCACATATATTTAAGCAATCCTCCAAAAACAATGACAGTCATAGAGAAACATTTATATATATATATATAGAAGATTTATATTTATATATATATATATTTTTTTTTTTTGGTTTCAAGAAAGCACCCCCTGTCTGTGCCAGTCAGAACAGTTTTTTTCATACAGTGTAGCCAATCAGATTCTTTCATTTTAATTGATATTTTAAACTTTACAGTCACAGACAGCATATGCAACTGCTCTGGCTGACAATAACCACCGGTGAATAGTGCACTTCTAAGGTCAGTTTGCAACCTAGGTAGCTAATTAGCTAGTCAACTGTAGCATATTGAATAGCATACATTTTACCTTCAAATGTCAATGTCAGTCAGTTTACATGCTTTATGTTCCAGTCCTAATTCGTCAATATCACTGCCAACAAAACACTGTCTGTCCTTGTAAACTGCAGTTACCGGTGCACAATGATTTACTTTCATTTACTTGTCACCGTTCCTCTGCCAACTCGGCTGTCAATCAAACACACACACTGGCCCGCCCATTCAGAGTCTTGAAGTCTAAAGGAGCATCTCTGATCACTCTCACTATTAAAAAGAATGTAAATTTTGACCCAATATTTGACAGTTAAAGGGAATGACTAATTGCGACTTCAGTTTGTTTGAACATACTTTTCTGAACAAACAAATTTTGTTGGCTTCTTCCAGCCAAAGGTGAATCTGAACTTTTCCTTTCTCCCCAGTTCTGTGCTCCTTCCTGAATCTTTTACCATAGAAACGGAAAAAGAGACTGGGAGAAGAGACAGAAAAAGGAACAGAGTGAGAGCAAGACAGAGAGATATAAAGAGATGAGAAAGACAGAGAAAGAAGGAGGGAAGGAGAGACATTGCTGCCAATTTTTTCTTTCCTCCCCAAAACCAGCAGCTCATTTTGGGCAGTGATTCAGCAAAATTGATTTCAGGAAGAGAGTGTGAGAGTGGAGAGAGAGAGAGAGAGAGAGAGGGAGAGAGGGAGAGAGGTGGGGGGAGAGAGAGGAAACGTGTGGAGACTTTAGAAACTTCAGCCCAAAGTTGTATCAAATGATGTTGTGCTGCACTTTGTGAAACTGCTCACATACACAGTGCTGCTCAGCAGGGAAACAGGTCTGCTCATCTCGCAGACGTTGTCACAGTTTATCAGTTATTTAGGCCGACAGACACAGCTGTAACAGTAAATATTATAAAGTGTTATGCTGTCTTATGCTTTAATGGGAACATTATGCTCTCGTTTCCAATCGTCTGCTCCTGGTCCCCTTTACAAAATGTTTAGTCTAGTTGTTATCAGAGAGAAGTTTCCACCCTCACTGCCTATGTGATGATGCAGATTCACTGTATTGGGGGTAAAATTCCAACCTCTTTCAAGTCAAGCCACACCACTTGCATTTAATTACTGGAGTCTCAATGTGACGGTGATTTATAGCAAAGAGAGGTGGCATCTAAAGCCAGAGATTTCCCTGAATCTGTGGCATCTGCAGAGCACATTTCTGATTGGCTCATGCTGTATCCCTTCTAATGTTTCTTTCCTGTTTTTGTGAACCCTGTGATGTAACCAAGATTATTTTGCTGATAAAATGTGTGTGAAAGAGAATGGGAGTGAGACAGTTTTATGCACGACAAGCCTAGCGTGCACACTTGATGTGTTTTACTTGACGTCGATTTATGTGTATATGTATAAGTTCATGTGTGCGTCATTTCTGTCAGCATATATTGGAAATTACATGTTTCTATGGTGACTGGGGTTAGATACGGTGTCTTCCATAGTCTGCCACAGCCTTTTCTAAACCTGTGGCAGACTCTGAAAGACAAAAGTAGTGCATATGTGCTGTGGTACTGTATGCAGCGCTCTGCAATCTGGGGGGAGTTGGTATTCTGCTCTTAGCCCAGACTAGCAGGGTCCTCCTCTGCACTGTGGAAATATTGTTTCACTGAGCTGAACTAGTGTGGTAGGAATGGAGTTACTGTAGGGAGTGAATGAGTAAGTCAACTGTGACACAAAATCAGAATGAATAGCTAAACAAATGAGTAAAGGAAGGACTAACTAGCATAATCTAAAAAGTTCTCCCTCTCTTTTCTTTCTTCAGGGACCGCATGCAGCAGTCAGCCATGTACGACCTTTGTCTGGGCATGAGGCAGGTGAGCCAAGAGTTTGTACGACTGCAGCTAACCTATGACGAGTTCCTCTCCATGAAGGTCCTTCTGCTTCTCAGCACAGGTAGGCAGTGAGCTCCAGGCCTGCAAGAGCTCTCATTGAGTCATTATACATCCACCTGCACACGCTGCTTTTTTTTCACTTTTGCACTACCTGTATGTTGTCCCAAAACTCCCCTCTGAAAATCATTTATCAAAAAGAATTGTGCGGATCAGTCGCAAGCAAGAATTAATTGATATTTCAGGCATAACTCAAACTGACTAAATTTCAATCAATAACATTAATGCTGTAAATGTAAAATTACTTGAATTTGTGGCTAGAAGGCATACAGAACGGACACTGCTAATAGAGGTCGCTGCAGTTTAGACCACCTTTGTGTGAGATAACACTCCCAGTGTCCCAGTTAAAGCTGACCATGCAGACATCTGTTTCTTCCAAATGTTGAGAGGTGACTGTCCTTTCTTCAGATGCTGCATTCAAATTCAAATGGGATGATTCAATGTTGGTTGATCAAATGAGATCATGATGGCCAGTCCGTTAGCATAATTTCTCTGATACATTCTTATCATTATTTCTGAACAAATCTTGCTCTCTCACAGGGAGCTTTTTCTAGTTGAAACTACCTTACCCATCATGAGAACCCATTACAAATAAATATATAGTCTGCTGTGATGCTCTGGCATTAAGCCATCCATCAAGTATTCATGGACCCAGTTTCTACCATTTTAATGGGACTCAAACTTGTGCATTGTGACTGTGTTGCTTATGCTGCACCCTGACTCAGCTTCACAGTTGGAAGCAGAACTTATCATAATCAACAGTGCTGATGTTTTAAGTCCGCTTTTAATCTGTGGTTTACTGTGAAAAGGAGAGGTGTGTTTATCTGCTCTTACACCTCATACAGGCAAAGGTGTGATGCCTTGTGTGTTCCCAAATTAACACTTGTTCCTTACAATTGTATTGTGTTATCTGCTGTACATGGCTTGGGCCATGACACTCCCCATTTCTCAACCAAAAGACTGCTTCTCACACAGGAAATGTATTGATAAGGTGTCTTGTGTTCTGTTAAATCCACCACACACCTTTGAGACACTGTTGGCAAAGCTCAAACCCGCCTTCCTGCCACCGAAAATCATGCCTTTTTAAGGTCTGTTAGATTATCATTCATGGTAATCTGTTAACAAGCATAACAAGTGTGGAAATAGACTTGATGTTGCATGCATCTGTTTGTGTCAACGTGCAATATATGCAAATTTAGAGGGGAGAAAGGTCTTTAGTTTTTCGTTCTCTTAGTGACTCTGAGTACTCTTTCTGAAGGCTACTCCTTTTTTATATTTAATTGCCTGTGGATAAATAAAATACGTCTATCACTCACTAAAGAAGGTCTCACCGTGTTGCCACTCGGTGCCAAACTGCGTCCACAGGCACTGCAGCCTCACAGAGAGGATGGGTTGGACCAAGTTGCTCAGTTGGAAACTGAAAGTAGTTTTTCCACCACCTCAACAACCAGTGAGCTGCTGCTGTCAGTTCAATAGTAACAGTTAAAGATTCCATGATGGCAGCTGTGTCATAACTTCACCGTCCACACCCACTCACCAGTGGGACACGTTGAGACCTGCTGTAGTCTTTTATTTATGCAGACGTCCTTGTGGGGACCTCATATGTGTGGTTTTTTTTGTGTCAATAGATGTTCGATAGTTACAGAGAGAGTGAGGATAAAGGGGGGTGAGGGAGAGTTGTGGCGAGCTATTTGAAGAGTCTGCATACTGGCCAGACTTCAAACTCTTTGAACCTCAGCATCAGTGCCAATCAGTAGAAATATTCATTGGCAGAGTATTTATTTTTCAGTTACTGAGGCCTCTGTCAGTAGTGCGTGAATGCTGGACTCGGATGGGTAAAACACAACCTTGGTAAACTTTATTTCATCCTAGCATCACAAGTTTTACATTTACATTTTGGCCAATGAACTGACACCATTATCCAAAGTAAATTATAATGAGTGCAACCATAGAAGAGCCTATAGTTGTGTGTCATTAGCATTAATTAAAAGGTCTAAACTGCTCAGACAATGTAGCTGATGTTTCAGTGGCTTTAAATTAATCATGTATGATTGATGATCAATCAAATGAATTCAACAATTTTGACAGAAAACTGCAATTTTGATACCCAATTTAGCTCCCGTTTGAGGATTATCAAAATACTTTTACACTCAAGGTTCAAGCCCTATAAGTTTTTGTAAAAAGGTCCACCGGTTTGCTATTTTAGCCTTCATTCTGATCCATTTTTCCAGTATAATTTAAAAGAATTGATCAGACTTTGAATGCAGTCTTGTAGTTTCTAAGCCAAAATATGAAAAGGTTTCAAAATTGCAGTCTGACTTTGCTGGAATGCAGTTTGTAAACTCTAACCTGATCTGATCGTTGCTTTTTATGCAGTACTTACAGTAGTAGATACTGCATATAGAAAAGGAAAAAGCATAGTGTCAGTACACTGTTAAACACACAATACCAATGGTGTAAGGTTGGTTTGGCTTCATAGTACAGTGACATATGGAAGAGGTGGTGCGGTTATCCCTGATATAAACTCAGTGTTGTTGAGTCATCTGGAAGCAGGGGGGCTCCGGCTGGACTTCAGCTATTAGATGTTGGGAGAGATGAGGAAGAAAGAGATACAGAGAGGGTGAGAAACCAAGAGTAAAATCATACAAATGTTGACAGTGAGAGCTTGTGTTGGTGAGAAAGAGACAGGTGCATAGCTATAGGGAGAAAGAAAGAGAAGACAAAGGGGGTGGAGGGGTTGGCAGAGCTGGTCCTTCTGTTGCTGTGGCCTCCCTCTCCTCTCCTCGCTGGTCCTCTGGAGGTTTTCCAGAGAGTCCTGCTGTACTTAATAAAGGCCAGTCAAGCACCAGGCATTGCTCCAAGACGCGCTATTTTTCTTCACTTCCTTCAAACCGGGGCTGGAATTTTGAAGGAGAGGCTGCGGATAAAAGTATAGCTGGAGTTGAAACAGGGAATTTAAGGTGCTTCAATCTGCTCTGGTTATTGGATATAGTCAAAATATTGCAGTAAAATCTGAGGGAAGGGGAAGAAAATAATCATCCGGTGCTTTCGTTTCTGCTGTGCAGCAGAGAAATTCCTGTTCCTGTTCAATCCAAAGCGCACACGATGGAGCAACTGTATTGAGCGGATGTTCTGCAAATATTTCAGCAAAAGCTCTTTTGAATATATATATATTTTTAAAGCAGTCCATCTCAGATTTTCAGAGGCACTGCAGGAATCTCTAGTAGTTACAGTTATTCAGAGGTAATGCTAGGGCCTCGTGGAAGGAGTAGCGGCAGAAATGTTTACAGAGGAGTTGTCAGAACTTGTCAGCTGAGCAAGTACTACGGAGTCACTGAATGTGTGTGTTCCTTCGGGCTGGTTTTAAAAATTGTGTGTGTTAGAGAGAGAGAGGGCGAACGAGTGAAAGGGAGAGAGGGAAGGAGGGATAAAGAGAAAAGAGAGAAGGGTTGTTATTCCTCTCTGACCTTGGCTAAGGTTTCATTGAGCCTGCGGTGTCTCATGACCCTGTTTGGATTTTGCACAGGAGCAGCGGCCTGCCCAAACCAGTTACACTCTCCACCTCCACACAGACGTAGATAGCATTGCTAGATTATCTCATTCGTTTGTTCTGTCACCAACTGTACTCTCTCTTTTTTTTCTCCTCCGAATTTGTTGCTCAGCCTCATTCCAGGTGGGGCAAGTGTACAGTATGTGTTCCAAGGCGATGGGTGCAATTTGTGTGATCATTTTCATTCCAATCAGTGTTTAGTGTTTTTGGGTCATGTTTAAATTAACGTCAACCAACACCCTAAAGCTTCACGGCGTTGTAACTGTTGTCATGATCAGGGCTAGTTGTAGAATTCCCTAATGAATAGTATCAGGTATTAAATTTTAACCGAGAGCCACCCTGTCAGTTAGGTATGTACCCGCAACTCAGAGCAGGAAGCTGCATGTCCTTGAACTACACACGTGCTAATGGCATCTCCTAGCTGCATGAGTTATGTTAGCCTCTTTATTTCTTTTTACATGCATTAGAAAAAGAGCTTTGGTACACTTAACAATGCAGCTGCACTCCCAATAAGAAATATGGCCTAGTTGAAAAAGCTCTGTACCTGCAGTGAAAATCCGTTTGACACCAATTACAGTGATATAAATGCCCTATTTTGGGGCCGGTCATGGTAACGCCCCTAAATACCAGGTCAGTTTCTAATCAGGGTGTATGTGGGTCAGTGGGAGAAAAACAAAAGGTCCAAACGCAGCCCTGGGTTTTAGCACATTCTCATCATGTCAGCCACAGAATAAAGCGCAGAAATCCCAGCCTCTGCACAAGGGTCCAATCTGTTTTCATATCTGTTCTCCTCCAGGCTCATGTATGTCGTGCTTGAAGGTGATTGTGCATCAAAGTACGATGAAGAGAATTACATAGACAGGGACAGAAAGGAGAAAAGAAAGAAGGATGAGAGGAAGGCGGACAAACATACATTCCCAGAGTTATTGACTTTCAGTGATCTGTTCTGAAAAAGATGCAATCCTAAATGACAAGAAGTAGGCTTTTGCTTGTGGCTGTTCGTTCTCAAAAAGGACTCAGAAAGGTCCTGTCAGTTGCTGGTTTTTGTTAAGAGTTGCTACAAATGGTTAAGGTTTAAGAGGCATCCTGACTACTCAAAAGTACTGAAAAATGTACATGATTTAGTATTAAAGGGAGGTTATTTGAGTCATTAGAGTTCAAAATTTCACATTTGACTGTGAAAGATATTTTTGTAAGGTTTCAAAACCACTATACAAATTTATAGACATGAATAACTCTTCTCGGCACGTTTAGCTAAGCTGTAAATGCAGAGACGTCTCGTAACTGTGCCCTTGGTGAGGATCATTAGTTCATGTGATTGGGAACTTGTTTGACTTCACTGATGAAACATGAATGACTAACTGATTTATTTTTATTTTTTTAAATGAATGGGATATCATGTTCTTTACACATATGTGTAGAGCTCAGTCTTGGATGTTCAACATTAAAGATGCAATAATTAGTCAATCAGTAAATCAACAGAAAATGAACCTAACAAACATTACCTTGTTCCAGCTTCTCGAATGTGAATGTTTGTTGTTGTCTCTATATCATGCAACTGTAAACTGCAACTGTAAACTGAATATCTTTAATCTATCCTTAATGAAAATAATGATATGTTGTTGCTAACCCTATTCTACACAATAATAGTAAGAACTTTTAGTTATTATTGAATCCCTATCCATTTTATACCTGGATAATTATTAACACTGCAGTTGGAAGTGGATAAATATCATGTTATACATAGTATGTTATACATAGTATTCTATCAGAAATGAATATGTTTTTGGTTAATCCAGCAAAATAAATACCTGACAAATAAAAGTAAAGCACACCATAATCCCGTTGCTATAAAACAGTCCTGCTCAAACTCAAATTGGGTCATGGTAGGTATATCATCAAATCTTAGTCTTGGCTGAAGGACAACTGAAGGCGTTCCCTCAGACTGATTTGAGGTGCAGTCTTTGAGAGGCGAGGTGTTTCTTAATCTGGTAGCCAGCAGCTGAATGTCATTTAAGAGCTTTGGCAGACTTCCATTTCTGTGACTTTGTTCTCCTGCACAGTGAGTGAGAACGATATCTGTAGACATTTTGATGCATCCTCATGGTGCAGTTACTGTATCTCATTCCTCACATCTGTCCGAATCTCTCCCATTACACTTCCTTTTTATTTTAAGTGCATTGATGCTACCATCTAAGTCATTATAATGTGAATGGACGTAACAGTTATTTAACAGCTCTGATCATTGAACAAAATGCTTGATGAATGGGGTTTGGTTGACACAATAGCTAAGCTCTTTAATAGAAATGAGCACAGTTGTTTCCTTTTTGTTCTCACTGTTGCTGAGATAACATTTAACCAATGCCTTCCAGTGTGTCAGTCATCTTTCGTGAATCAGTGGCTACACATAAAAACTCATTACCTCTTGCAATGGTGAAAGTGGTTGTAATGAGTTGCTAAACAGGCTTAGGTTGTCAACACGGGAAAAAAGTCCAAAAAAAGGCTTCTGTGTGGGAGTGCGAACGTAATTCACTGAGCACCTCTAATTACCCTTTTACACAGTTACACATTTCTACATTAAAGGAACATACCGGTGGTTGTGCATGGCTTAGCCCATAAACTGCAAATGGTGTGTAATGTGCATTTGACAACCATTTTCTGGAGTGTACTATAAATACATTCTAGGCGGATGCTGGTTTTCACTCATTTCGGTATGGTAGAAAAATCAACTCAGAGACATGGAACTTGCTTAAGATAGATAACCATCACAGTGAGCGTTCAGTAACATGATTTTGTTTTCATTTTCAAGTCATTCTTTGTTATTGACATTTCACTGCATTTTTTACAAAACAATGAAAATGTTTCAATTACTTTTTTCCTTTGTTTCACAATCAGAGAAACTGAAAGCTGAAAATTACTTGTTGGCTGCAGAACAGTAACTCTTTTATTAAATATATTTGAAAATCAGGTTTTTCAAAATCAGGTCATCTAATTAAAATCATGATCTCTTTTTCAAGAGGAACCTGAGACCAAGGAAAAATATTACTTTAAAAAAAGCTACTGAAATAAAATGATTGCCCTTTTGAGTTCACCTACAGCTTTTTATTTGTATTCCGAGTTTGATATTCTGAAAACAGCAGCTACTAAATTAAATGCTATTTAGATCAGATGAGTTTTACGAAATTCAACACCAAGTCAGAGATTGTTCCTGCTTTTAACTGCATTAACAACAATATTCATACTTAATCTAAAAAGAACGGCCAACTAGGAGCAGGCAATATAGATAAGATCCTTTCTCACAGTATATTTAATTTCAAATTCTGATAATGATAGTAGTAGATAAGTATATTAGGATATAAAACACAAATCAAAAAGTATTTATGGACACATGTCACACACATGTCTTTTTTGGCTAATCCAGTGAACTACATACTTGACAAATTAATATAAAAATCTAATATTGCCAAGAATATTCCTGCTCATAGATTTACAACATTGTCCAAAATGGCTTGGTATGACCAAAGATATTAAAGTGATAACTATCTTGTTAGAAACAGCATGACAAAATCATCAGTCATCTATAAATATAAATCAGTCAATCTAAAATCTAATCTAATCTAAAAAGGAAACAAAACATGCAAACCTGTATAGTCCTTTTAATATACCACGTAAAGAGACACTTTGCTTATAATTAACAAGTTTTGAGTCATTTGTAATAAATCTGCCCAGTAACCATACCAGTCTCATATCAGGTGAACATTAATTTTTGGGTCATTAACATCTAAACCTGTATTGTTGTTCACTCATTAAATCCAGTTGATGACAGAAGAATTTGTCTCTTTCCCAGTTCCCAAAGAGGGTCTGAAGAACCAGGCAGCGTTCGAGGAGATGAGGGTTAATTACATCAAGGAGCTCCGGCGTTCGGTTGGAAAAGCAACCAACAATTCTGGCCAAACCTGGCAGCGCTTCTTCCAGCTCACCAAGCTACTGGACGCCATGCATGATGTAAGTACCCTCTTCCTGTCATGCCAGTTGCCTACAGTAGAGCACAGGCTTCCCTTGGCAGCCTCTCGGTATGCCATGCCTTCACACACAGAGCGAGGTGTTCATTGGCACTTTGGGCCTCTAATATCACAGGACATGTTTTGAGTAAAATGGCAGCATAGTGGATTTGGATAATGCATTTACTTAGCGGTTCAATGGTGCTGTGGCTTGGAATAAGGATTATTGCATCCCAGTCTCTCCCTGAGGGGGAGGTTATTTTGGAAGAGGCGTTGACCAGCCTGTATTGGTGAATGGAACAGAAGGGGATCAATGTCAGCTCTGGATCAGAGTACACAGTCGTCACTGTAGCAAATGTGCTAAATTACTGTTCTTTTTTTATGCACGGGTCAAACGGTATGTGGCATAACAACAGTGTAGGCAAAGCCCCAAGAGGTGAGAGTCAGCAAGTGATAGGTCACTGAGATAAATGGCCAGAATTCAATGACTCTAATGACTGAGTGAATGGGGTTAGTGTTGAACGGATGACCCTTCTTTAAGGGAGGGTTGTGCAGAAAAAAAATCAGTTGTGCCCCCAAGTGGTGAGTGGAAAATTATTGAAAAGGGGTCAGTGCCCCAACAGAATGTTAGTACAGTCATATGAATATACAGTAACTCAGTGAGTTAAATTCTCAATTGTTTACATATAAATAACATCCTAATAAAATAAGCAGCAATAAAAAGCTACGACTACAATATGTGTCTCATTAAACTGTGTGCTTGTGTTGTCCAGCTGGTGGGGAACCTGTTGGACTTCTGCTTCTACACCTTTCGTGAGTCCCAGGCCCTGAAGGTGGAGTTCCCCGAAATGTTGGTGGAGATCATCAGTGACCAGATACCAAAGGTGGAGTCAGGCCTCACTCACACAATCTACTTCCACAAGAAGTGACTCGCTTAACAGTTGGGACAGAAGCAGCATTAAGAACTGGAAGAGAGGAGGAAGAAGTTCAAGAACAGAGAAGAAAATGTGCAAGGAAGGCCTGGCCAGTTGGCCTGTACCCTGTCGCCCAGTATGCCAGCGTCCTCCTCTTGGATGGGAAAGTTAAGTGGCGTGGTGACAGAAGTAAAAAAAGGGGATAATGATTTGACCCTGCAGTCACCGCGAGCGGGTCAGAGCTGTGAATAGTTTGTCGAGCCGAGTAAGACACGGCGAGAAGGACTTGTGACAAATGTGACAAAGAACCCCGAAGTTCCCCCCCCGCCTCGCGCGTGCTCCGCTGCGGGGGCGTGGCGCTCACCGGGTGCCGTGAGCGCGCGCTCCGCCTGCCCCCCCTGAGCCCGACGCAAGACTGACGGTAATCACGTATTTTCTATGGAGATAAAGCTTCATACATCTTTCCCGTAGGATTGCGCTATGATACATTCACCTGCGCTATGCAGACCACACGACACAACCTCACAACACATAATATCACACACCGACACACACATGTAGAGGGAAATGACTAATCACGCATTGTGTGTGCACATGCCTTCACTACAACATGGACGCAGCAGGATGCCACTCCACATGCATCTAAAAATCAGGATCGAAGACATCTAGTAGACAAAGCGTTTTGCATAATGATAGAACTGGTCGGTCTTTATCTCAGTCTTTCGCACAGAAAGATAGCACTGATCGCGAAAAGTAACTACGTATGCGCGAAATACTTAGAGTTTTGCTGCAGTGGTAGCAACCATTACCGCGAAGTACCTACAGGCAGACGGATGTTGTTGAGAGCACAGAAATTCTTGACCGCTGGTAACGCGAGCAAGTCTCATCTTGATAAGGGATATGACTTCCAAGGGTATACAAGCGGTTTCAGTCAGTAAGCTGAGATAAGTTAATTAAAATCTAACAATCGTCGAGAGTTTGAATCTTAAGTCGGTGTCAGTAACAGCCATCAGTGACGGCGGGATTCATCATAGCTGAGCTTTTGGTTATGATTTAGAAAGATAGTAGCTGGCCAGAAGCGACAAGCCTGCAAAGAGCTGAATATGCAGGAAAGGTCCAAAGGCTGACGAAGTTGTTGATAGAAAGAAGATCGTGTCGCTTCCTCTGGTAGCAAGAAAGCTGATGTGGCAGCGGTGAAGGCTGCCCATTGTTCCATGTATAAGCATTATCTGTTATCGGGCCATTAGTGTTGTAGATGAGCTTAAGCTGATCGTATATAGTTGGAGTGAGTGATTTCTTTATGTCGTGTTTGTCGCAAGAGTGGTCGCAGGAGGGCGAGTTGCTGGGCACGATGGAGCGAGCCGAGAACCATGCAATCACTACTCGAGACGCATAGTTTTCAGTAGGAGTCGGTCCGGTAATAGTGGATTGCGATCTCGAGTTGACTCCATCCGAGGTACATTGTGTTTTGTCAGTTACATCGCCAGAGCATGCTGCTGGGCCCCAAAGTTGTCCTGTGTCTGCTTACTCTTAGCAATTGAATAAGCGATACACACGCGCCCTGTGTGAAACCCGAGACACTTATCATCTTCCAACTCGAGAAGAGAGAGTTTGTAGGTAACAAGTGTGTGTTGCAAAAGTTTAGTTTCTGACCGCGACCCAGTCGAGTTTACGATTAAATATCGGTGTTCATTTATCAAAGAGCCAGCAAATAACTGACATGAACGCACTGTATGCAGGTAACTCGTTGTGATAGGCAGTCCGGTATAGCACGAACTGACCATCTGGTGCATATGTGGACCACACAGTCTTATAACTAATCATACGCTTCTGTAAACTTTGACTACTATATCTCAAAACTGGAGCATTTACTCTCAGGTGCTTTCTAGCAAATGGTGCGCTAATGTATCAGAAGACCTCAGGCAACATGCGTGTATCACGGTATCAACACTTCCTTAACACCATCATTCTATTCAGCTGTGTACATATGATGTTTTGAAGGTACATGGTTGATGACGGATGCTTAGATGAAGATACTGCTTAGTACGTTGGATCACCGTTCCTAACTTGATGTGATCTATGTCCCGTTTATCGATATCTTTGGTCCACAGTATCTTACTATTTTAAGTTTAGCATGGCCGCGAGTCATTCTGGACCATGTTAACTTGTCTCCACACCGCATGTTTGCTGGTGTGGTTGTGGAATCACTTACTATTGAATGCTAGCTGAAAAGCTATAGCAGCCACTGGGCGAGCAAAAAAACAGTGGGCGTTGATTATTTTATTTGTTTTGTTTGCCCTGTGTGTATTGTTATCTTACATGTGTGAATGTGAGGCAAGTGCTGCTTAAAGTTATGTTGTGTGTGTGGTGTGTGTTTTGTTTTTTTTTCTTGGCAAGCATGTGCATAGTTTGTATCTGCTCTTTCAGCGTGGTATTATGCATTGTATGTTAATTAGGTATTAAAGCCGTTTCCTATTTCCACCATTTAGATTTGCACGGACGGAGATTATCATAATGTGAAGATGAGAGCATCAGGTGGTAGAGCAGCTAGCAGGAATTGTCGTTTTGTAAGCAAACTGTGAATTGATGCGAGAAAAGATGCTGTTCTGCCTATGGTCACCCAGCCTAACGAGTTAGCACGACATGAATCATACACATCAGGGTGTTGTGTACTGTATTTTGGCCATATCTTCTTGTAGGGATGGCATCTTGTGCTGCAGTTATGATGGGTCTGTTGCTGTGGGTAGGTTAATTGTGTATAAGATTGGAATGTACAAGAGATGAGATGGGGGTAGCTGATCACAATGTCACAAGTAGCGCGTAAAAAATTATTTGAGGGGGGTGTGTAGTGGGCTTTTTACGCGATTTCCTTGTGCCTTCAAGGGCTCATCTAACACACTGTTTGGGTGGGGGAGCGGAGGGGAGGTGTTGTGAAGTGGCGTGGTGAGAGGGAGGATGGTAGTAGGTGTTTGTTGATGTGGAGTTCGTGTGAGAGAGGTAGGTTAGGTGGGCGTAGAGTGCGTAGCGGCGAGGGAGACTCTAGAGGAGTGGCGGGCTGGCCTGTCCACTCGATTGGCATTGGCGTTCATAGCCTAGTGTTTAGCCGGGCTTTGGGTCGTAGTCTAGAGAGTGAGGAGCAGCTTGGGGTGAGGTTTTCATCTATGGTGTGTATTGGTTTGGTCCGAGTTGAGGATAAGTGATGTTTGGGAGGGGGATGTGGGAGGGAGAGAGTGTGAGAGATTAGTAGAGGTTTAGAGAGGTATTCTCGTGTGAGTAGAGAGAAGGAGGGAAGAAGGAGAGGACGTCCCGCTTTGCCACTGAGATGTGTTTTACTGAGTCCCTTGTCAGGAAGGGGCGTCGAGTTGTGCGGAATGCGGCGGTGTGTGGGGCGATTATGTGTTCAAGTTGTGAAGGACCCTTAATCTAATTCTCACCTGGTTTCCTTTTATTTTGGCCCCTTTTGTCGTTTAAGGAATTAGGGAAGAAACGTTCTTAAAGGGGTTGCGATAGCATGAATGGGAAAGTATGTTTTGGAGGGATGAGAAGGTATTATTTGCTGGAAAACAAGTGTAGGTGGGTAAGTGTACTGGGGGTCTAAGAAATATATCCTTGTGGTAACAATGAGGGAATGTTAATGCATGCTTTTTGATGACGAGTGGTGTTAGCGAGTTGTATTAAAAAGAGGGAAACTTGTCCTTTTGTGTATCTTCACACGAGGTTTTACAATGCGTTTATCAGTGGGGTGGGAGGGGGTCTGGTATATTGGTTAAATAATACAGCAAGTCCTTATGTTGAGTATAGTATAAAACATTTCTACTTTAACCATCTTGTTTGGAGATATTGGAATAAAAATATGTGTTTTCGCCACTCGCCATTCTGTGTGATTGGATCACAGAGAAGAATTTACAGTAAAGTTTGTGCCAGAAACGGGCCAAATAGAAGAAATGAATGTATCATACATTGTGAGAGGCTTTATGGATACTTACTACCTGAGATGTTAGAAGGTAATTTATATCTTCTGTATAAGTAAAGTTATTGATTCTTGCATTTTTTTTTTTTTTTTTTTACTTTTTGCATCATTCAAGTGCTCAAACAAAATGAATAATAATCAAAAATTATTTGTTATTTTGTAACAGATGTATCAGGATTATCCTTGAGCTTGTTGCTCGCTGGGGTGTTGATTATGATCCTGTAACCCATGAGCGTATGTGATGAGCAACACAATAAAATCGAAGAAATCACTAACATATATGAAAAGTCTGGACTAGCTGAAAAGAAAGTTCTGACTTTAAAAATAGAAACTTTTCACACACAACATAACATGAACATGAGTGACGTAGACACTGGTAGACCTGAAGTTTATGCGCAATTCAACATTGACTGTCTGCTTGAACAGTTAATCGTATACTTCATCATATGCAGCTAACTTAAAATATTTATTTATAAATAATATCATATTAATTTTGTTTCATTATATTTTAATGATAATGTTAAACAGTGAACAATCTTTATTACACTAATTAGTATTCCTGATAATGATGACTATATGTTACAGTGCCTCGTTATTTCCTGACGACTCCTCTCTTGGTAGCTTCAGGTAAATATTGCTTTGGCTTTCTTCTTGACTGGATTTTTTTTAAATTAATTAATGTTTTAAGAATTAGTTTCCATACCTTACCGGAAATACACTTGCATTCCTTGTTATAAGATGAGAAAATTGATATCACTCTCACGTCTATATGTTAACTATGTAGTTACTGTCAGGAGACTGTTCGCTTAGCTTAGCATGGTATGGTAAGGTTAAAGACAATCCACCCCCCAGTACCTCTACTGTTCAATAGTTACCATGCATCTTGTTTGTTTAATCTGTTGGAAAACCTGAGTGTTATGTGCCACTTTGTGAAGCAGGTCACTGTGCTTGGCTAAGAATTATTCTCACAAATAACCCCCCCTATAAATCCACACGTTAATTACTGAGCTTCAGAAGTGCTGCTAAGCAGATCTTGTTAGCTTTGGAGAGAGCAAGGCTAGCTGTTTCTCCCACTTCCCAGTCTTAATGCTAAGCTAAGCTAACTGTTCCCTGGCTGTGGGTTCATATTTCTCATACAGGCATGAGAGTGGTATCAATCTTCTAGCCTTTTCGGCAAGAAAGTGTTTCTCAAATTGTCAAAATATGCCCTTAAACAACTAAATGAATGAACAGTTTCAGATCAGTTTCAGATCAGTCACCACCTACTGCAAACAAGAAAATAAAAGGCCTTTCCCCGACTGGAGGGAGAAACATCTTAAAAGCTGCCTCTTGCTAAATTAACTCCTTTTAGGCATGGATGATCCAGAATGTGTTCAACTGCTGTTTCTCAGTACACTTACTATCGCGTCACTGTATGTGGAGTCACGTCCTTGCCATTTTCTGTTCACGGTGATGAATCGGGTGTAGAGAGACTAAGCCATATCTCCACGGCCATGGCAGTGCATTTCTTATGAATATATAAATATATACAAATGCTTTTTTTCCAATTCCAAAAATGACTTTTTACTCAGATGCTTTGTACAATATTTCTCAGCAACTATCCAACAATCATACAGTAGACATCCTTCAACATAAACCAATAAAACATCTTTGAAACCAGTTACTACTGTATATCTTGATGCAGATATTGCCATACTTGTGTTTGCAAAACTATTGCAAGATTCTAATAAAACTGTTAAACCGATAATTTGATGTGATTTAAGTTTTCTGTTTGTGTATGTCTGTGTGTGTGCGCGTGGTGAAAATTCTACCATACGACAGAAGCTAGGAAACGTGCCCTAAAAAATGTGCTGTTTGATGTGGATGAATTCGAAACAGCTGCATTTGGTGGCTGGGGAGGATAATGAGCCAAAAAACACAGAGTTAGCATGGAAAAACAGAAATGATGTGGAGCAGCAGCAGGTACAGCAGTCACAGGGAGAGGAGATGAAGAGAACAAAGACAAACGGAAAGGGAAGAGAGTAAAAATGACAGAGATAAAGCATGCAAGGATGAGACTTTTACAGTAAAACGGCGCCTGTGGAGAAAAATCACCATTAACCTTGTTAAAAGCTGATCTGAAAACACGCCTGCTTTGCCAGACTGTAGAGCAGACAGTATTACTTTTTTTGCTCATTTTTTTTTCTCTCTCCGAATCCACAGCCCTTTCCAAATCTCCCCCAGATTTCCAATTGCTTTCACTTGTAGTCGTGCCAGATAAACAGAATCTATTGGATCAGGCTGATTTCACGGCTGCGCCCGCGCACATGGCGGCTTCTGTGGCCCACTCTTTTTTTTTTTCCCCCTCCACACTCTCTCCTTTATGTTTGAAATTCACTTTTCTCCAAATTCCCACTCAGTTTTCACCCCCAATAATACATCAAGTCTTATTATGATTATATATTTCAGAAGCTTTGTACTCTGAAGGAACCAGAAGAAGACACGGGAACGTATTAAGTTAGTGTTACATCCAGACATGTACCTTTGGGACATTCAGACACATTTGTGGCACTTAGTTGTGTCATTCTCTCATAGCTCATAGTTAGAGGTAAACTGCTGTAGGCTTTGATCTAAGCTGAGTCACCGTGTGGGACTATGTTATGGGGCTGAAGGACACTGCGTCATGGGAGGCAGAGGACATCTGGCACACTGCCAGGAATCTGGGAAATGAGAAATGAAAACGTCCATCTGGATTTTTACTCGAACACACTTACATCTAGTCCAAATGGACACGGTCACACTGATGTATACATCATCCCAGACTGATAGACGGTGATGCATAATGCATGCAGAGACACAGAAATCACCACGGTAACACAACTTCAATCTCAAGTGATATGAAGGCAGCTCACAGGTCTCAAATATGAATCTGACCTGCCGAGATTTTACCACTGTTGTTCATTCTGTCATATTCCCAAGTTTAGGAGAAAAGATTAAGTTATTTAATTAAAAAATAACTATCGGAGCACCAGAAGAGAAGTGGAGCGCTGACTGAGGAGCAGAAGAGGAAATCGAAAAAAGGAGGAAGGGAAGGAGGAGAGCGACAGCAAGAGGAGTTTTAAATACTCCTGAGACACAGACAGGTAGGCAGAAGAAAAAAGGGAAAAGGAAGGCACATAGAGCAACATGGCACGCTTTCTGACAGACAGTCCAAAGCAGAGTGAGAGGCAGGCAGGGTGGATGTCTCTATGATTCAGCAGTATTCTGGCAGAAGGAAGATGATGATGATGAAGGGCCCAGGAGGTGGGTGGTGGTGGTGGTGATAGTGGGGGAATATTTTGCCTATCTCATTAGCTCTGCCTCATTTAATTATGTAATCATGGCGTCTGCACTTGCTTCAGGGAGCCGGTGGACATATGTGTCGCACTGAAACCACAGCTCCAACCTCTGGTATTTTCAAAGTGGACAAAGTGTGCGTGTTTACACTTATAAATAGTGCATCAGCCCACTTACTGGAGGTCTTAGTGTGGTGGTGGACTGATGGTAATTATGTAACTGAAGCCAAAGCACAAGGTCTGGAGGCCATTTGGTGTGTTAATTACACAGATGTAGCCTAAGAATTAACATGCGTGAACCTCTGATGTTAATGGATCAGGGAGGTGGAGGTGGATTAGTGTGTGTTTGCCTCTGTGAAAGATTACATCTATTTTTAATTCCCTTTTGGAAAGTTATTTTGGAAGTAGCTTTTAGTCAGATGGACCAGTGCAGGTCAATATAAAGAGGAAGGGTTATATTACACTACATGGACTCACTGTAACAGTACTGGCTGCAGAATGAATCCTCATTTCAACAGTCACTTTATTCTTAGACTCTGTGGGAAATGGGGGGCCTTCTCAGTGACACAATAGATGAGTCATGAAAAAATTAGACACAGCGCTAGATTTCACATTGGTAAAACTAGACACATTTCCCCAAACATAATTTTAAAGTATAGACACCTATTATCAAGAAAATGTGGCCATAAAAGTACTTTCCTTCATTTTCCTGTGGCTTACTTTGGAAAACAAATACAATTTGAAGATAATGTTTGGAGAAAACATTTTGTAAGACTTCAATCTGTTAAATTTTAAATGTTCATTTGTCACATTTATTTTATGGCAAGAATACATAATACAGTAAAGAACAGAACAATCTTTATTTGTTTAACATTGATCAAAAGAATACCCAAAGGTATAAAAAGAAGTCAAGGCCCTTTACAAACATCATAAATCAGTGTCTTAAATTATTGCAAACACAGTCTGCTGAACCAAAGCTCTCCGAGAAATTAAAGTGTCTTATTTAACAGCGGAAGGATGAATTGTAATGGGACATGTGTACATGTTAAACCAAATAAAAACGGTCCATCACATAACGGAGACGTGTAAAACATACTTGGTAGTCATAACTACATACACTGAACAGATGTAAGACTTTGAAATACTGCATTTTGTGGTCTTACTGATAATAAAACTTTCTGATTGTGATTTCTGATCACTTATTCCTCTGAAGTTGAAGATAAAATAACGATAAACTAAAATTTCAACTTTGTGGGAGTGTATTTCTCTGCTCAGAGGAAACTGAGCAACGTTTAAAATAAGCTTTAAAAACAAACAAAAACAGATCCTTTGACAAGAAAAACACTTGGTTTAAATCATTACCTCTGCTGACTCTCTGATGCTAGTGTTTAACACAAGAGGTCCATTAGGCATCAAAGAGGCGTTTTACTGTGTTTCTGTGAAGGAGTGCACCAAGAACAAAACAGTACAGAGTGTGTTTAAAATTCAAAAGTCATGCAATCAATGTGCCAATTAAATTAAATACAATTACAATAGTGATGTGCCTCATTTTGACTATCCAAATATTCTTAAAATGACAGAAGAATGCAACATTTTAAAAGCTAAAGCAGTAACACTCCAATTCGTTTTCATATATACCCGTACATACATTTACACTGGGTGTAACGCTGATAGTTGAGGCACGGTAGGTACAGTATCTCTAATCTTTTAAAAGCTGAAAACAAACATTGTTAAAAGGGTCTAAAGCTACTGAATTTGGTGCAAAATATCTTTAAAAACTGATTACAGTGATTTGAATTTTGACATTCCTTGATCCTTACAGTTTCTGAGGATCATTCTTTGACTTTGGGTGCTCATGGATACCATGTATAACTAGGGGAGAGAGTGAGTCCTTTAACAGAGAGGCACTCATTCTCTGGTGCTGCTAACAAAGTTACCTGAATGTTTAGAGGCTACAGCATCTTTGTATACAGCATAATATTTTAAGTGCAAACCCATTTTGCTATTACAACGATGAAATGTAAGTATTAATTAAAGTAAATTCAAACAAAGAAACATGCTCGCACATGCATCACAAAAGTCTACTTGCCAGCCAAAAATGCATATACTTGTGTATCAAGAATAGTCCATCAGTAATAATATATTGTCACTTGCTTGAGAGTATTCAGGGACTTGGATAAACAAGGCTCTACTGTGAATGTCAGAGTTGAGGCACATGCATTCTCCGCAGATTTTTCCAGGTGGATGTGATAACTTGTCCATAAATATTTCCATTTGAGGCTACAACATCTCCACGTAGTTCTCAGGGATGAGGCCCCTCTTTCCCTCCAGCTCGCCCTCCAGCCAGCCTGGCTCTCTCGACTGGGTCACTGCAGGAGAGGACACAGCGTCAATGGGGGGGTACAACACCACAGGGAGGGTGAGGGTGGGGGACAGACAGAGGACACAGAGTCCTCCAGTGAGTATACAGTATGTGTCAGAGTGAGCAGAGCGCAGGTCTGAAGAGGATACAGTAATGATGCGGTTGCACTAAACTCCACTTCGACTCATTTTATCTCTACTATACATCTCAAGTCTGTTTTTGGATCCAATTTTTCTAGAATTTCAGCAGCAAAACGGAGCTCTCACAAACCATTTAGTGTGACAGATGTGTCAGAGCATGGAGCATTAATGTGGCATGCCTTCTCAAAATCCTCCCAAGACTCTTTATTTGTCTCCAAAGTGAGCCAATTTAAAATTTTGAGTGCATTTGCGAGTCAACAATTGCATGGATAAATTGTCAGTGAGAACTTCTAAGGCCAAAGTCAAGATATAAACTAATTTAATACTTCATACTTAATTTCTTTTCTCTTGTAACATGTCTCAGCCTGCCTCAGGGCAGACAGAAATGTGTTTACGAGTCCACTCTTATTCGTCTATTGAACAAGGACAAGGAACATAAAAGCCCAATCTTTCATACAGGTGTAGACAAAAGAGTTGACATGCCACCAAAATTCAAAGCACATGATTTGAACCAGCTTTAATTTCCAAATTGACTGACAGATTTTCTAATATAAGGGCTACCAAAAGAATACAACCCCATTCTGCATGAGTAATGTTTTCTCAGGTTGTTAAAGGTGTTTTATATCTGTTTGTCCCAATTAGAATAAATTTAAATACATTAGAATAAGACTTGTCTTTTCAATTATGATCAACTGAGAAACAAAGACCCCCAACCTTATATGCACATGCGCATAGTACAATAATAAACTTTCATTCCCCTACTGCTATGGGATTATTTTTACTGACATTTTTAGGAACAACCAATTACAAATTTTGCCTTTAAAAAAATAAATAAGCAAGATAGTTTCAGTTTTAAGGGTGAGGAGGCATCAACATACTGTCATCTTTCTTTAGACAAACTGTATGTACAGCTCAGACCAAAAAGACATTTAGAAATAACTGAATACAAAGTATACAACATGTCAAGTGTAGATGTTTAGTTAATGAGAGCCTCATTATGTAATGTTTATGTAACATGTCAATCACTTAAATTGATGGCTGATTAGTGAAGAAGGACAGACAGAATGAAAGCAAAACTATACTAAAGCTCCCCAGATTTTGTATCGAGGTAACTGGAGATTTAAGTTAAGATCCAAAAGAAACACACGTCATCGTTCAGTAATACTTTTACTAAACAAAAGGGTGAAGCTGCAAATGAAATTTTACAATAAGTGTGGGCTCGAAAATAATTTAATTTAGTTTATGAAAATGTGATACTTTATCCATTTTCGTGTTTATTATTATTCTGATAATATAAGTTCACATTTAGGAGTTGGAAAACCACCTTCTATTAAATTGAATTTTGCCATGGTAGGCATTTATCCTGAGATGAACTCTTTCAGCCAACAATGGAACATTGATGGCTTTAATGTACAGGCAGAACAAAAGGGAATACTGTGCATAGAGTGTATAGAAAGATGATTAAGGTGAGGTTTCCATTGTCTAATCCATTTATCCATTAATGGCAGCTGTCAGATTTGGACGTTTAGATCATAACTTTAGATCATAACACCTTTAAAGGAAGACGGTTTACTTAAATCTGCAAGACAATGGAGACTAACTATGCCAAAAAAAGATTTTTTCACCATTTAGGTTGAAAGAACAAGAAAAGAACATAACAACCAATACCCTGCAATGCATTGTGGGGTCTTATCAAAGACATCACCACATGTTTCCCTGCAAAGACTATAGTATCTCTATAGTGTCTGTGTCTCACAAAATAGGGTTTTGACAAAAAATAGGAACTACAAAATCCTCATTTCCTCTGAGAGTGATTAAAGCTCAGTCGAGCCTCTTCCAGACGCACTGAAGAGCAAATCTGTGTCTCCTATCCCCCTCCTCCCCATTCTCCCTCTCCTCGTCTCATCTCTCTGTTCGATTGAAGATCAGATTGGGTGTTCGGTTTTCCTCCAAATCCAATATGCCAGGGCTGGTTCTGAGTGAGCGACTGGTGTAGGCGATAACACTTACCGGCGTTGAATATTGCACCGACCTGGAAGGAGAGCTCAGAGTCGTGCTCAGCCTCACATGGGTACACTGCCATGGCTTTCCTGCCGGTGACACTGAAAAATGAAGGCAATCAGTGAGCTGGCGGAGCTTTGGGGAGGATTACCGCACAGTCCAATCTGGGCCCGGGGCCTGCTTGTTCATTCACTCACTAGCCTGAAACAGCAGAAATGGGCCAGGCTGGAAAATAAGCAAAAGTACCCAGAGAGGAGCAGGGCCACTACACACTCTTGTCTTGCCCTATCTCCAGTCTAGACAGACTAGCGAGCGAGTCAAAACACACCCACATGCACCCGTGTGCGTGCGCGAACACAATGAGATGCAAGGTTTTGTACAGCCGAAAAGGCAGGCACAAATCAGGTCCGCACAGCAGACAACCATCTATGGTGAGATAATTAAAAAGTGGCGGGGGGATTCTAAAGTAGGTTTTCACACAAACAGAGGTAGAATAGAAATCTCTCTCCACTGTGCTTCAGCTTTTAAATTCACATTTGTGAGCTTAGAAGCCGCATTTTAAATCAGTTTGATGTAAAAGAGCGCTGTCAAAGAAACCATATTCATCGCTCTGCAAAGGTTAGTAAAAAGCCGCATTTATATGCCATTGCATTCCCGAAAACATAAAAACTGTTTCCACAGAAAGGTTGTTTTGCTCGCCATTGCAAACCGTTATCTCGTATGCCAGCAACATTACCATGTAGAAGTTGTGCCTTCAACACACGATGCCCTGATAAATATTTCATATTCTTTCTGCAGAGCAGCAACAATGTAGGATGAGAGAGGAGAAAGAAGATATACAAACTGAAAAAAAAAAAAGTTTGCGGTCACAGAGTTGTCAATACAACAATGTTCAGCCGAGTTCTTGAATTCAGAATTTTGGAAGAATGCACTCTCGTGGAACCGCGTTTGGAAAAATGAGGATTTGTATTTATACGAAAATAACATTAATGGATTGCCCATAGAATGACCGAGCTGTTTGCAATTTTTTTCTGTAACAACTGAAAGCACTGAAAATGAATTCAGCATTTATTCTCAAGGAAGCGGAGCAATAGATGAGTGTAACGTGCAGAGTGTACACAGTCCCATCCGGTTCACTCAGATACTTGTGTGTGTGTATCTGGGGTTTGACAGAAAGGGGGAGAAGGTTGCTGCCCCGGCTTCAGCCAACACTTGTGTTTCATTTAGATCCCTCAAAGGTAAACCAAATTAAGGGCAGTGAATATGTGAGCAAGTCAGGGAAAATATTGACGTGCAAGACTGCAAGTAGATGTTCGACGAGAGAGGGATTCTGTTGGGTGAACATGCAAGATAAGAAGAGCAAGCGAGTAATGGAGCAAGTGAGTGAAAACGGAATGAAAAGAATCTCTGAGTGTGACATTTACCCAGTTTGAGTGCGAAAATGACTTAAGGACACAGAAATAAAGGACAGGGAAAAAAAGTAGTGAACTGCAATTATAAAATCCTATTGGGAGGAAAACAGGCAAAGTACCCAAAAGAGAGGGAACCCTGTCTTACCTCTCCTCAGGCTTTTCTTTTTCAGAAGCAGCTGTGTTGGCAGCAGGTTGACTCTCTCCTGGCGCTCCAAGAGTGGACCAGGAAGTTCCTGCTGTGGGGGCCCTGCAGATTAAAAAAAAACAAAAAAACACCATAGTCACTAGAGATTCTGTGTGCATTGATTGAAAAGATGGCCTATTTGCCCTGAAGACCATTTTTTATTTTAGATTTAAAAATGAAGAAAGCTGAAAAGAAGGCAGCAAGAATTCAGCCTTCAAATGTCGGACCTGGTGGCTTTTCAGACGTTCACCAAGAAAAACAGATGCTGTGTTTTCATACATTGTTAAATTGTTCAGTTTTTGTAGCAACTACTGTAAGTGGTGGAAACAGAACAACAGGTAAACTGAGCAACCTGTTGTTATGGAGACAAGGTGATAATGCATTTCTACAACAATCCAAAGCCTTGTGAATTCAATTCAAACCAAAATTTGCAATGGGGTGTGGCTTTGTGAGTGGTAGATCTTGACACCATCCACAATCACAATTTGAACTAACAGACATTCAGATGTTCTGTCACTTATGCTGTGACATTCATGTTCTGAGTGTCAAAGTCAAGTCAGAAATGACTTTACTCACATTTTAAAATTTGAATAATATATCTTAGAACACACTTGACAAAGAAACGTATAAATAAATTATCCATCTTATTCCATTCAACTGTACAGCAGCTACATACAGGAGTACTTTGATTTCTCATTGTGTACAGGGTGTACATTCATCCCAATAACAAGGACAACATGCTTCTATAAATGAAATAATCCATTCCACTCCATCTGCCAAAGAGCCTCTTTAAAAGGACTCTCAACAGTAGTTAATATTAACCTGAAAGGTAAGCATCAAAAGCAACTTTGATATATCTATCTCAAGGCCTGAAATTAAAGTCATACAAAGAAATGTATTTAACCTTCTGTATCATAGTTTTGAAACGTGTTGTGCTCCATAGCTAAAGCCAGCTAGTAGCATAATTGCAGCTAAAGCAGCTAAAATCTGATTCTCAACCCCAATGCTCAACTCAGACTAAAGACCTAAAATCTGGAATGAATCTGTAAAAGAAGATACAAAAAATAAAAGGAGTCATGAATTTAACAGAATACCTGAATTCTGGAGGAATATTCATACATTGGCCAATTATTTAAAACTGTAATTCAAACATGTATGCAACCACCACTGAGAGATTCAAAAGAATGAACCCTATTGATACAACAATTCTGCTTTTGACTTTAGACGAAAACATTAAAAACCATCCTGGATCATAGAAGACAAATGAATATCCCCGTCATTATCATTCATGCTTGTAATGTACAGACAGGTGAGAAACTTAACGAAAAATGTCAAAAAATGGAACACAAAAAAAGTCTGGCCCCATTAACAAGGCAAAAAAAGGTCACTGAACTGTTTGATGAGCTTGAAAGTGAGTGAGATGTCAACACAGTGGAACACCTATGGGAGATTTTGATCTGCTTTTGACGTGTTTGACAGGTCTCTCCACCATCATCAACAAAACTCCAAATAAGGGATTACCTTTGGGAAAAATGGTGTCCCTGTTCCAGAGATTTGTAGAACCTATGCCAAAGAGCCTACATTCAATGCCCACGGTAATGTATAAAACTTCTGTGTGTGTAAAGTCAAACAATTACACTCCAACACCCCGACCATATGCTTTATCTGTGACAGTAGTAGCTGTGCTTTACACTGGCTGGTTTCAGGGCCAACGAGTCTATGGGCGATCTACAGGATGGAGGTAGGGGTCCTGGTAAAGGCGGAGTGGAGCAGAGCAGAACAGGAGTCTAAGCCAGGCATCCCTCTGTGTTCCATGCCTGCCCCAGGGCCAGTGCTAATACAGTACATAATGAGCAAATTGCTCCTAGCTGCCGCTCCCATAGAGACGTTAATAAAGGCAATTAGAGGGAGCAGTTGGGGAGGGGCTGGAGGTTGAGAGGATGTTGTGAATAGTGGTTACATTGGCACTGGTGGAAGAGACAGAGCAAGACGGCCTTAAGGGGGAACATAGTAGGGGATCTTATGTGGACATAGGTGGAGGTGAATACACAGTACGGAGCTCACGCTTCCATTTCCCCCCTCTGCATCGCATTCTCCCTCAATTTCTTCCTCTGCTTCCCTCTCAGTGCACTTGTCCATCCCCAGCGGTGGCTGTTCCGTTCGGGCCTGGCCTGACTGTGGGTGATTTATAGCTCTGCAGCAGTGTGGGGCCACTGTGGTGCTCAGCTGCTCCACATCAGCATGGGGGGATAGTGCGCTGCAGTGCAGCAAATCCACTCATTAACCTGGGCCCAGGCACAACCACTGTCTGCCTGGGTCACAGCCAAGAGAAGGGAGAGCAGAGGAGCACCAACACTTCACCCACCTGCAGGTCAACCCACTCAAATACACAAAAAAAGCCCAAGATACAATCAAATTAAAAACAGAGAATGCATGCAACACACATATTAAAGAAAAGTTAACATATCAAACTGCTTAATTCAGTTGGAAGAAGATTATACAGATCTGTACAGATCTTTAAAATAAACAGATATCTAAATAATTATAGAAATAAACAGTTAGGGAAAATCAGTGAATGCCACATGGCTGCCCTAGAAACTTGTTAAATGTACCAGAGGTAAATGGATTCATCCCAAAATTGCTTTCACAATTATAGCTAAGCCAAACCGAGGGAAATCGTTTGCCATTTCTCTTCAACAAAAATAGCATCAAGCTTTGAATTGCTCATCCGTTGTTTTTACCCATCACAGGCACTAGCTAAGCTTCTTCTGTAAACATGATTAAATACAGTAAATGGGGACTCGTGTGAAAATGCACTGTATGTGAGGCACACATGAAAATCCCTCTCCAGATGTTGGTAATATTCATAAGATTTTAAGAATACTAAGTTTTACTTATACATATCATATTATGCAGGATAAATTACATCATTATATATACAAAAAACATCATGAATTCCAAAGTTAACTGCAACTGGAGGTCTTTTAGTTTATTATTTTAGCCATCAGGGTTATCACATTATCACATGCTGCCAGGTTAGTAGCAGGGAGAAATTCATCAACAGAGGTGGACTGCTGCTTCTCATTACTGTAGGAATTTTACCCTGCAGCATCCAGGCCTCGCTGATCCTGGCGTGGAGCTAACACGGGGATGAGCGAGGCTATCAACTGCCTTTCTACTAAAGGAAAAAGGGCAGCGGTGGGATTTTGTAGTGTTTCTAGTAAAAAGTGGGATCAAACCTACAGCCAAGCTGCCCATCCAGCCTCCACCAATTTGGGTGGGCAGGAAATAACCTCTGATCCACCATTTTATGATCCACAGCTGTCTGCCAGCGAGAGGCATGGAGGGTAGGGCAGGAGAGAAGAAGGAAAAGTGGCCAAAAAAGGTAACATCATTGGGCGGGACTTGGGGCAACAGTACCACTGGGAGAAGCTGTGACTGAATTTAGGCAGAAGAGGAGAAATGAGGCAAGACATCAAAAACGACGGAAATGATAAATCATGCCACAGTCCACAAAGAGTTATTGCATGATATAGTGAGTCAGGATGCATTTGTGTATGACCAGGCAGATTTTGCTGCAGCTATCGTGCAAGAAATAATGTAAAATATATGCTGTTTTCCAGGTGCACTTCTGAGCAGACCAGAGTGCAGATAATACATTTCTGCAAGTGGCTGGAAATAATCTAGCAATTGCCATCCCTACTGCTCTTTTTGGCTAGGACTGAAGCCGAATCCCTGGGTTCCAGGCCAGAGAGGTGCTGTGCTAACAGGTCTCCACCATCTCACATGCTAAGATTTATGAGTGAACAAAGCCAGGGCGACACCCTGTGACATATGGCGCAAGTCTTCATAAAGGGACAGGGGCTGCGGCTATAAGGGTAAACAAGATGAATATCTCCCCAATGTCAATACGATTTACACGGCCAACGCTCGGCCACCTGTCTCCCAAACAAATAAGAGCTGAGATTTACGACCTCCTCCTGGTTGCTCCTTCCGTCCTCCAACATGATGCCACATATGTGGGAAAGCACAAAAAAATAAATAAATACCCACAGGGGAAAAAAAAGGAGTTGGTTACGTAAGTAATATACAGCCTTGTCTGTCTAATCCTGCAACTTAGAGAAAACGCTTGATACAAACATGCCTACACACAGGTGGGCACACACCCACAGAGGTCAAAGTGAGAGAGGAATCACATTGTCCTCTGTCAAGTTGCAAGAGTGGATTTGTTTTTATTTTACAGCTCTTTTCAGGCAATGGAGAAGGAGAAGGGGACAGTGAATGAGAAAAAGTCTATTTCAAGGTGAATCTGTAGACATGACACAGCAGAGAGTCTAACATCTGCAGCATAACCCAATAATTCATCTCTCACATCAGCATTCAAGACAAGTCACGGGCTGGAAACAACAAAAAGGACCAAGGACTTAGTAGAGAGAGTGAGGACAGAAAAGAAAAGCCAGAGAGAGGCAAAGCATCGACTATTGATGCATTTTCTATCTAGTGCTAGTACAAGAGACAAAGCCAAACAGTTGACATTTGACTAATAGCATAAACATCAAGGCTGAAGTTAAAAATGTATTTCACTTTCGATTCATCCATTGTTTCATTTTTGATTAACTCATAAATTATTTAGCGTATAGAATGTCAAAAAAGAAGAAAAATTGAGATGCTTATTTTATATAAATCTAAGTAAATTTACAATATTTAAAAACCTTGTTTGTTAATGATAATGAAAATAATAATAAATACTCGTTTTACCAGAGCAGGGAAGACAAACTGCATCGCAACCTGACATTGCAGTAAAATTTAACTGCTAAAATGTATTCAACTGGTCAATCTACAGTGAGGGCAAGATGCATTTCCAATTTAATAATCTCACAGGGAACAAGATTTAAGAGCCACTATTTTCCGGCTCTTATTGGAGTGTGCTGCATATTAATATACTTTAGGAAGGATTTACCTCATCATTTTATTCTGCTGCAATATGAACCATAACTAGCAGTTTAGGTCGGCCATGAGAAGCAGGTCATTATTGGTTATCATATTGGCTGTAAAAAAAAAACAAAAAACCTTATCGTGCATCCCTACAAAATAGTGATCAAAATATTCAATTAGAATATTTTAATTACTTACTTATTAGTTTTATTTGCAATCCATACAGTGCACATTCGTATGTAAACCATGTTCACTCACTTATGACTTTGTTCACTGCGGATCTACTTGCCTCACAACCAATACCTGCACTGTCAGATGTGTACAGTCACATACTGAGCATATTGAACCCCTTACTTGGAGTTGCTGCCTGAGCTGAGGCTGGTGCTAAGTGGGGCATGGTCACTCCTCTCTACAGGCGTCTCCGAGGTCGAGGCTGACGATGACTGGGAAGATACAGACTCATTGCTGCCCATTGATGTCTCATCAGGAGTTAGGCTGGAACTATCTCCCACTGCTGACACACACACACACACAAAAAAAACAGTGTTTGGTTTAATTACAGCCTTTCATTCATTTTATTCTACTGTAAAAGATTCAGCCTATTCCAACCTACTGATGATAGCTTGCCTGATAAAACGGCTGAATAATTTATCAATACATAAGGCAATGCTGCATCCACAGGGGATTTTATAAATCAAACTACTGTCAAAACAGGCGAGACTTAGAACCAAGTTTGTATTGTTCATAATAATACACTTCTGCAGTTATAGACAGGAACCTAAAAAACACAAGGGAGATCCAAGCTCTTTTATTTCAATTTTACTGTCAAGTAAAGATCCTGCTTTTGGGAGATGGGAGAAGCACTGAAGCAACTGTTGATGTTAAAGAAGTAGTTGGTTTGGAGCATTTCTTCTTACTTCCCCAGCAAACACAAACATATCAAAGCACTTAAACCAAAACCCCATACTGAATTTAGATTGAACTGAACTGGTGTAATATTAACAAACTAACAGTTTTTGCTGAGCAAACCTGAGGAAGCTGCAAGCGAAACACGTTGTTTGCTCCTAAATAAATCACAGT